CACTGCAAGGAAACAACCGTCACTGGACAGACACTGCAAGGAAACAACCGTCACTGGACCGACACTGCAAGGAAACAACCGTCACTGGACCGACACTGCAAGGAAACAACCGTCACTGGACAGACACTGCAAGGAAACAACCGTCACTGCAAGGAAACAACCGTCACTGCCGCACAATCAGCATTTCCTTCCTCTCCTGCACACGGCTGCACTGCTATCCAAGTCCCTACGGCTGATGGTATCATGTAACAAGAGGCTGCAGGCCCTTAAAGAACCCTTGTAAAAAAAAAAACTCACTATTTCTCTTCTGAATTTCTAAAGGTTTTATGAAAGTTCCGACTTCACTGGCTACATACTTGTTCTAGGTCAGTACCAGGATGACAGCGCAGAGCCCACATGGGTTGTACTGCCACCTTGCGGTGACTGGACACTGACAAATAATCGCTCCCAGCAGGGAAGTCAGAAGGAACAGACCTGTACTGGTCTTCAAGAACAGAATTTCAGAGGTAGGTCACAAATTCTCATTTCCTCATTGTACGCGGGGGCCGGTCCTAACTAGGGATGCCCCAATACCGCCCGGCTTCCTGATTGGCCGGAAAGCCGGCTCCATGTTCCCTTCGGGCACTGCGGGTCAGAGGAAATCTCCCAGTATCGGTCCTAACCACGGGACATCCAACCGAAGGGGCCACACACCAACAGGCCCCGGTAACCGATGGTGAAGGAGGACGGGACAAGGCAGGAACCAGGCGGCAGCGGGGCCACAATGCTCATCAAACACAAAGAGATCTGGTCATGTGACCCGTCATAGGGAAAGGAGGAACCCCGACCTCTAAGAATGACTCTGCGTCTGATCCACCTAGCAATGACGGATCCAGAGGCAGGAAGACCCCTCCTGAAAGGACAAAGGGGGACTCAGATTGGGGAAATGAAGCCGTCACAGCTCGGGCCACATCCAGGCAGCAGAGGGAAACTTCCATGGGATGCTTTGGGGCATTAGAAGGGAAGGACAGTGTCCTGGTGGAAGGAATCACCCACCTTGGGGAGAAGGTAGGCCGAGGGCTAGCTTACCCGGTGTAGGAAAGGCTCATTACAGGACACGGCTGCCAACCCCAAAACCCAACTCATGGAGGTGATGGCAACGAGAAAGGCAACCTTGCAAGTTAGATCAGATAAGGGAATAGCCCGGACGGGTTCAAAGGGCAGCCAACAGAACCAGACGTCACGGTAACACTGGGCAACAACCTGCACAAATGCCTTAACCAAGGAGTAAGCGGCAAGTGGTCTTTGGAACAAAATAGCTAGGCCTGAGATCTGCCCCTGGATGGTGCTGAAGGCCAGATGCTGATCCAGACTAGAGTAGAGAAAAGCCGGGATCCATTCCACTGAGTACTTCCCGGGATGGAACTTCACAAAAGAGTTTCCGGTGCAATGGTAAACCTTGCGAGTTGACTTCCTGGCCGGTAAAAGCCAGCCACCGAGGATTCGGAAGACGGGCCGGACCTTGGGACAGAAGGTCTGGAAGGTCCGGAAGAACCCATGGAAGGTGTGCCAGGAGTCTGAGTATGTCTCGTAGGTCAGTTTGGTGTAATAAGAATGAGCGGGAGGATGCGCTCTATCTTCAATCGGCAGCATAGACTAGAGAGAAGCTTGAGAAGTGGAAAAGCAAAGATCAGGCCGAGCCGATCCCAATGAGTCACCAGAACATGCAAAGGCCCAACGATCCCAGGACCTGGTCCTTCCTGAATCTGGTCTCCACACGGTTCCCCAACCTGTGGCAGAGTGCCCGGAACCCCTCCTTTTCCCGCAGATCCAGGTGACCACTATGGAAATTGGCCTTTCAATTCTCCACAGCTGGGATGAGAAGTCCGGGGCCAGAACGTGCAGCTCTGCCCAAGCCAGAACCAGGTCCACTTCTCTTTGACCTAAGCAACCTCTGGTGCCCCCCTGGTAGATGATGTTTGTTCTGTCCAACTGGATCCCAATGGGGTGACCCCGAAGATGAGAGATGGAACAACTTGTCCTAAGTTCCCGAATGTTTAAGGGAAGATGAGCAAGTCCACTAACCCGAATGAGTATCTAAGACTCCGCCCCCAGCAAGACGTTCGTCCCGGGAACCGTACACAACTGGGGAGAAGGGCCGAAAGTCCAACAGGCCCAGATACTCCAAGCAATGAGGTGGACTCAACGCTCATTGTTGCAGAATGAAGATCCATCTGAAGCTCTGCAGAGTCTGCACTGAGGAGGAGGTCCGAGGTATCCCTACGTGAAGCCGAGCTAGGACTGGGGCCGAGAAATGAGCTGCTGTGCCAAGGACAGACCAAAGGGGGGTGGGTGGGGGGGGGGCTGGTCTGGTCATGTTGCATGCCTACAGCAAATGTGGATGTGTACACCCCATTTACATGTGTTGCCGCCCGTGCCCTTCTATTAGCCCCCGGGGTGACCAGAGCATCAGCACACTAGGCTAGAGAAGAGCCTGAGGCTCCACCACACCAGCCAATCCCCTTTGTGGTAGATCTGAAGATGTCATGGAAGAGCCCATCCAAGCTTTGCCCTCCCCAGTGGGCTCAATACCGTATGGTGACTGGATGGTGCTGACTGTACCCCAGCTTTTGGGCCGAGCATTGACTTCCACCCCAAGCCCGAACCTTCACCTCCACCCCAAGCCCGAGCCTTGACCTCCACCCCAAGCCCGAGCCTTGACCTCCACCCCAAGCCCGAGCCTTGACCTCCACCCCAAGCCCGAGACTTGACCTCTTCCACCCCAAGCCCGAGAATTGACCTCTTCCACCCCAAGCAGGAGCCTTAACGTCACCCCAAGCCCGAGACTTGACCTCCTCCACCCCAAGCCCGAGCCTTAACGTCACCCCAAGCCCGAGACTTGACCTCCTCCACCCCAAGTCCGAGCCCTTACCTCCACACCAGAATAATTTCCACCTCAATAAATAAACAATTCTCCCCCCAAAAAGTGTAAAAACTGAAAATTGTTCTAATCTGTAAAATCAGATAAAACTTTATTAGGAGCAAACACGGGACATGGAAACCATTCAGATATACGAGTATGACCCCCATGACTCGCTGAGCTCCATGTCTGACCCATACACCCCCCCACCCCCGCCCCCCACGGGTCTTCATCTGCCAATATCTGGGACGTTCTGATCACTTTGGTGTATAGAGCTTGGTGGGATTGCAGCGCCATGACAGGGGGAGGGGAAGTCAGGGGGTCCACACTCAACAATGGAGGCCAGGAGGATAATGACGGGGAAATTAGGAAGGTCGTTATAACTCCTCCTTGTGTCTGCAATCAACTATGAAAAGCCAAACATGAGAGGCGAGCAGGAAGTGGCCAATTTCCCCAAAACAAAACAAACCCCCCCCCCCTCCCCCGACAGCTGAGGGGCCGCGGCGTGCGCTGTGAAAGAAACTTCCACCAATTCTGCGGCTCGCTGGCTGAAATGTGCAGCAATTAGCCGAAGTTTCTAATCCTATTAACCAATGAGCTGCCCCGCAGCCCAACCACAAACATCCCCTCCCCCGGTCAACGCAGCGAAAACAGTGATTATAATCAGAGGCCATTGGGAGCTGCCAGCGCCGCCGCTTCCCCGACGCACAACATTCATATTCATGGCGCTGCGTCTTCAAAGGACATTAATTGCTAATCAAAAGCCGGCAATTATCCAGGCGGAAATTCAGCACCGCACAGGAGACGTGCCGGCAAACACGGCAACACCGCCGAGTGTTTAACTGCAGGAGAAACTTGCCGATAGCTGGACGACTCCGGGCCCTAATTACAGGGGCCACAGAGACTACGAATCTGAGCTAAAGGATGGAGAAGACGAGTTATATACTACGAGGGGGACACCTCACCAGTGTGGGAGGGGCAGAGACACTACTGGGGGACACCTCACTAATGTGGGAGGGGCAGAGACACAAACTACTGGGGGAAATCTCTCCATTGTGGGAGGGGCATAGACACAAACTACTGGGGGGAAATCTCACCATTGTGGGAGGGGCAGAGACACAAACTACGGGGGGAAATCTCACCATTGTGGGAGGGGCAGAGACACAAACTACGGGGGGAAATCTCACCATTGTGGGAGGGGCAGAGACACAAACTACGGGGGGAAATCTCACCATTGTGGGAGGGGCAGAGACACAAACTACGGGGGGAAATCTCACCATTGTGGGAGGGGCAGAGACACAAACTACGGGGGGAAATCTCACCATTGTGGGAGGGGCAGAGACACAAACTACGGGGGGAAATCTCACCATTGTGGGAGGGGCAGAGACACAAACTACGGGGGGAAATCTCACCATTGTGGGAGGGGCAGAGACACAAACTACGGGGGGAAATCTCACCATTGTGGGAGGGGCAGAGACACAAACTACGGGGGGAAATCTCACCATTGTGGGAGGGGCAGAGACACAAACTACGGGGGGAAATCTCACCATTGTGGGAGGGGCAGAGACACAAACTACGGGGGGAAATCTCACCATTGTGGGAGGGGCAGAGACACAAACTACGGGGGGAAATCTCACCATTGTGGGAGGGGCAGAGACACAAACTACGGGGGGAAATCTCACCATTGTGGGAGGGGCAGAGACACAAACTACGGGGGGAAATCTCACCATTGTGGGAGGGGCAGAGACACAAACTACGGGGGGAAATCTCACCATTGTGGGAGGGGCAGAGACACAAACTACGGGGGGAAATCTCACCATTGTGGGAGGGGCAGAGACACAAACTACGGGGGGAAATCTCACCATTGTGGGAGGGGCAGAGACACAAACTACGGGGGGAAATCTCACCATTGTGGGAGGGGCAGAGACACAAACTACGGGGGGAAATCTCACCATTGTGGGAGGGGCAGAGACACAAACTACGGGGGGAAATCTCACCATTGTGGGAGGGGCAGAGACACAAACTACGGGGGGAAATCTCACCATTGTGGGAGGGGCAGAGACACAAACTACGGGGGGAAATCTCACCATTGTGGGAGGGGCAGAGACACAAACTACGGGGGGAAATCTCACCATTGTGGGAGGGGCAGAGACACAAACTACGGGGGGAAATCTCACCATTGTGGGAGGGGCAGAGACACAAACTACGGGGGGAAATCTCACCATTGTGGGAGGGGCAGAGACACAAACTACGGGGGGAAATCTCACCATTGTGGGAGGGGCAGAGACACAAACTACGGGGGGAAATCTCACCATTGTGGGAGGGGCAGAGACACAAACTACGGGGGGAAATCTCACCATTGTGGGAGGGGCAGAGACACAAACTACGGGGGGAAATCTCACCATTGTGGGAGGGGCAGAGACACAAACTACGGGGGGAAATCTCACCATTGTGGGAGGGGCATAGACACAAACTACTGGGGGAGATCTCACTATCAGAGTCTGTGGATGACGTCAGCAGCATCTGAACCCAACAATCTCAAAGTAAAACATTTCATTTCCACACTAACTTACCTCTGTTGTACTTTTCTAATAGTTTGCGCTGGTCAAACACCTCTTTGGTCAGCGTGACATTTTCTTTCTTGGTAGTGTTCACCTGAAAAAAACATGGATGAAATATAAGGCGTAGGATTGGGGCGGAGCCTGTTCCTCGGAATGGCGCACTGCGGCGAGTACGGGAAGAGGGAAGGATGCATCTAGATTGTTGTCCTTTTCATATATTTTGCAGCCGGGAAAGTCGGTGAGCGAGTCATGTATACTGCACCTCTTCTATAAGGTCCACAAGTCGGGATCGCAGCTCCTCCAGCTCTAAGGACACCGACTTCTTCTCCTCCCGGACAGACTGGACCTGATCCTGGAGACCTGTCACATGACAACATCATCACCGGACCCGTCCACACACAGAGAGTTCTGATAGAAAGAACCCAAAGGAACCAACTTCTGCCGCAATACATGATCAGCCCCCCCAGTGACACACTGACACTCGGGGCCCCAGAACAATGACACACTGACACTCGGGGCCCCAGAACAATGACACACTGACACTCGGGGCCCCAGAACAATGACACACTGACACTTGGGGGCCCCAGAACAATGACACACTGACACTCGGGGCCCCAGAACAATGACACACTGACACTTGGGGGTCCCAGAACAATGACACACTGACACTTGGGCCCCCAGAACACTGACACACTGACACTTGGGGGCCCCAGAACACTGACACACTGACACTTGGGGCCGCTCACCTTGCACTCTCTGTTGGCAGGGAAGGGACGCGCAGTCTCCCCCGTTGTCACCCTCAGAAGGGTCGTCGTCGTCCAGGTTGATCTCCTCGGTGATGACCTCGGGGCCCAGCTTGGCCATGTACAACATGCTGATCCGTTTCAGGTTTTTGTTTTCCTTGTTTAGCTGGAGGAGAATAAACATAGAATTAGCCGGCTCTCCACACGACGGGCCCCGGGGCCCCCCGCAACAAAGGACATTTTCATCTGAGGCCGGAACACTGTGGAAGAGGAAGGACCTCATGGTAATGACCTTCATACCCCCACAGATGACGAAGCGACGAGTAGGAGACTCCCGACATTCTCCGAGCTGACGTCCTCCACACAACAATGGCATTTATTAAGATCTCGTTCCTTCTGCCCACACACAGAAACATTGTGACCGGCCAGAGGAGAGATCCCAGCGTCCGGCCAATCCAGGGACAGGAAGTGACTGGAATATATTGGGGTCTCCGAGCCCCCCAGGGACAGGAAGTGACCGGAATATTGGGGTCCCCGAGCCCCCCAGGGACAGGAAGTGACTGGAATATATTGGGGTCTCCGAGCCCCCCAGGGACAGGACGTGACCGGAATATCTTGGGGTCCCCAAGCCCCCCAGGGACAGGAAGTGACCCCAATCTGTGATCTATGAGCACTCCCCGGTCCGGTTCCATGTCTTCCCTAATGCATTGATCTGGCTGATGATGTTGTTGCCGGGACAACAGACGTCTACAATAATGAGAACCTGTCATAAGAGAAAGATGAAAGTTTCCATTGATGAATTCCTGGCTGTCAATCCTCCGGCTTCAATGTTTGCAGAATCACCGACATGTGACCGACATGTGACCGACATGTGACCTCAAAGCTTTCCTTGTTCCCGATACCTGGAGGATGATGAAGGTCAACAATGCCCCCTCTCACTCTGCCAGGGGTACCTCCCGTTCCGGGGTCCATACCCAAACCCGTGTCCCCCTCACATTCCAAGGGATACCTCTGCCTGTACCCCAAGCCCGTGTCCCCCCCCCCATTCCCAGGGATACCTCTGCCTGTACCCCAAACCCGTGTCCCCCTCACATTCCCAGGGGTACCTCTGCTTGTACCCCAAACCCGTGTCCCCCTCTCACATTCCCAGGGATACCTCTGCCTGTACCCCAAGCCCGTGTCCCCCTCTCACATTCCCAGGGATACCTCTGCCTGTACCCCAAGCCCGTGACCCAGGGACAGGAAGTGACTGGAATATATTGGGGTCTCCGAGCCCCCCAGGGACAGGAAGTGACCGGAATATTGGGGTCCCCGAGCCCCCCAGGGACAGGAAGTGACTGGAATATATTGGGGTCTCCGAGCCCCCCAGGGACAGGAAGTGACCGGAATATTGGGGTCCCCGAGCCCCCCAGGGACAGGAAGTGACTGGAATATATTGGGGTCTCCGAGCCCCCCAGGGACAGGAAGTGACCGGAATATTGGGGTCCCCGAGCCCCCCAGGGACAGGAAGTGACTGGAATATATTGGGGTCTCCGAGCCCCCCAGGGACAGGAAGTGACCGGAATATTGGGGTCCCCGAGCCCCCCAGGGACAGGAAGTGACTGGAATATATTGGGGTCTCCGAGCCCCCCAGGGACAGGAAGTGACCGGAATATTGGGGTCCCCGAGCCCCCCAGGGACAGGAAGTGACTGGAATATATTGGGGTCTCCGAGCCCCCCAGGGACAGGAAGTGACCGGAATATTGGGGTCCCCGAGCCCCCCAGGGACAGGAAGTGACTGGAATATATTGGGGTCTCCGAGCCCCCCAGGGACAGGAAGTGACCGGAATATTGGGGTCCCCGAGCCCCCCAGGGACAGGAAGTGACTGGAATATATTGGGGTCTCCGAGCCCCCCAGGGACAGGAAGTGACCGGAATATTGGGGTCCCCGAGCCCCCCAGGGACAGGAAGTGACTGGAATATATTGGGGTCTCCGAGCCCCCCAGGGACAGGAAGTGACCGGAATATATTGGGGTCCCCAAGCCCCCCAGGGACAGGAAGTGACCCCAATCTGTGATCTATGAGCACTCCCCGGTCCGGTTCCATGTCTTCCCTAATGCATTGATCTGGCTGATGATGTTGTTGCCGGGACAACAGACGTCTACAATAATGAGAACCTGTCATAAGAGAAAGATGAAAGTTTCCATTGATGAATTCCTGGCTGTCAATCCTCCGGCTTCAATGTTTGCAGAATCACCGACATGTGACCGACATGTGACCGACATGTGACCTCAAAGCTTTCCTTGTTCCCGATACCTGGAGGATGATGAAGGTCAACAATGCCCCCTCTCACTCTGCCAGGGGTACCTCCCGTTCCGGGGTCCATACCCAAACCCGTGTCCCCCTCACATTCCAAGGGATACCTCTGCCTGTACCCCAAGCCCGTGTCCCCCCCCCCATTCCCAGGGATACCTCTGCCTGTACCCCAAACCCGTGTCCCCCTCACATTCCCAGGGGTACCTCTGCTTGTACCCCAAACCCGTGTCCCCCTCTCACATTCCCAGGGATACCTCTGCCTGTACCCCAAACCCGTGCCCCCCTCTCACATTCCCAGGGATACCTCTGCCTGTACCCCAAGCCCGTGTCCCCCTCTCACATTCCCAGGGATACCTCTGCCTGTACCCCAAGCCCGTGCTCCCCCCTCACATTCCCAGGGATACCTCTGCCTGTACCCCAAACCCGTGTCCCCCCTCACCTTCCCAGGGGTACCTCTGCCTGTACCCCAAGCCCGTGTCCCCCTCTCACATTCCCAGGGATACCTCTGCCTGTACCCCAAACCCGTGTCCCCCTCTCCCATTCCCAGGGATACCTCTGCCTGTACCCCAAGCCCGTGTCCCCCTCTCACATTCCCAGGGATACCTCTGCCTGTACCCCAAACCCGTGTCCCCCTCTCACATTCCCAGGGATACCTCTGCCTGTACCCCAAACCCGTG